CCCCCCCCCCCCCCCCCCCCGGCCCCCTCCCCCCCCGCCCCGAGGCCCCCCCCCCCCCCCGCAGCAGCGCCTTCCCCGGGGAACTGTGCGGCAGCTCCCCACCCCCGCTCACCTCTGCTCCGCCTCCTCCCTGAGCACACCGCCCCCGCTCTAATTCTCCTCCCCTCCCAGGCTTGCTGTGCCAAACAGCTGATTGGCGCTGCAAGCCTGGCAGGCGGGAGAAGTGGAGCGGCGACCACGCGCTCGGGGAGGGGGCGTAGGAACGCTGTAAAAAAAATTGGGGGCACCGCTTTTTGGCGCCCCCAAATCTTGGCACCCTAGGCAACCGCCTAGTTTGCCTAAATGGTAGCACCGGCCCTGATCACACTCCTTCTCTACCTTTACTTCTACAGGTGTGCCCTCCCATCAATAGAGATATGGGTACCCCACTTCCTTTCAATGACAAATGTTACATCTGCTTATACTGCACAATGCAGCTATAGACGTTAAGAGAATTTGAAGCCTGATCCCCCTCCAGTCCAGATGCTGCTCTGTGTGACTTTATCTGCCCTGTTAAGTTCCATGTTAAAGCATTGTATAATAGAAAATGGTGAGGGTCAAGGGAACCCTGAATCTTAATATGGACACACAGGCTCTGTGTGCCACCTTCAGTACTCCAGCATTGGACTCAATGGTTCCAAGAGAAAATATAGTTTGCATTCATTCTGAATGCAGAACTCCTAAACAGTGTGAATCCCCAGGGATGATGGGGCAGGGTTCACCCTGAGGGGAAATTGGGACAGCTGCAGTTTCCCTTGTTAAAGTTAGGTATGGATGTGAGGAGAAAAGGGGACAGAAAGGAGAGACCTGGATGGGAGCAAGGAATTGTCCGTCTATCCCATTTGCCTTTAAACATGTTGGACCCTCAATCCCAGACAGGCCACTTTTTGTCCAGGTTATGTACAGTATGTACATTATACATTACATTGACATAGCATCTTTCATGTCCACGGACCCTCAAGGCACTTCACAAAATATACAAATGACAATCACTTTCACCCCACACGGAAAGGCAGCCAGCCATGGAGTGGAACTGTTTACCAGTGCAGAATGGGCAGAACATAGTGACTCATTTGCCTGGGATTTTAGAACTAACATTTCTAACACATCAAGGTATTGCTTTTCTTTGTTCACACAGTTGTTCTAGAAGTGTCTTCCTCCCATAACTTGTGACAATCTGATGTCATTACCGGAGTCGCACATTCACGTCTTGTTGAGCGTGTACCCTGAATTACTTCAACAGGAAGATGAGAAAGCCCAAAGCATCATTGTATTGAGTTTGATGCAGAGAAATTGCAAACATTTCAGACTCAAGGGTTAGATTCCTAATGTTCCTTGGAGGGTGAGAGAAGCTGACTCCGAGTGGAAGTCTGTTACATTTTGTACAGCCCCCAGTAAGTCTGATTGTCTTTCAAGATGTGTCCAAGTCCGCTATTGATTGTACAGAACAGCTTCTCCCCCTTGCTCAGAAAATAAGGTCTCCCGAAATTGATGGAGGCAGTTTTCTCCCCAGTATTTGTCCCAGTCATCTGGTTGAGGAGAATATTCTCATCTTTGTACAGCATCATCGTAAAATAACTTTCTATTTCCTTTATGCGGGTCACCTGGGCATAGATGAAGTACATGCCACTCTGCAGGATCTCCAGCTTTTGGTCAGAGTCATTCCTTACGAAGCTACTGCAGTCTGTCAAGTTCCACTTCCATATGATGTAATGACCATGATCATCTGAAGGTGCTTCCATAAAGGAACCAGACAAGGAAGAAAACAAAGCGAAAAGCATACAAAGTGGTTAATTATATTTCAAAGGCTAGCCCATTTCCTAGATTTTCCCTTGTCATTTTGTAAATGCTCTCCATTAGTTCATATCCCTTCTTACCTTTTCCTTATCTCTTTGATTTGAGGTCTTTGGGGAAGAAAGGGAAGGGTCTGAGCCACAAAATTCAGAGCAGGACCCAGACTCTGAACAACTCCCAGAGTTCTGGGCTGTTTGGAGCTGGGATTCTGTTATTCAGACCCAGATTCAGATTCTGACACCCATGAAGTGAGGGGATCTTTAGGTCCAGGGTTTGGGTCTGAGCCCATCTTACTTAATTAAATCATTCGACTGCTGTTCAGGGGGCAGATCCTCAGCCAGTCTAAATCAGCATGGCCCACTGGAGTCAACCCGGGTTAAGGTAAAGGGGAGCAGGGCGAAGCCCAGCTCTCCCTCCGCTTCTAAAAGGTAAGCAGTGCTCTCCAACAACTAACTCCCTCTCCTCACTGGCCATTGTGGTGAGGGCACCTTCCTGTTTCAGTCAGCAGACACAAATCCAGCCCATCCCAGCGAGTAAACTTTTCACTCTGAAAAGTGACTGTGGATACAGTATTTCCTGACTCACCAGATCTGATGCCTATGTTTGTGTTCAGAATCGTATCTGCTTTCTATGCTGAATAACAGCATTTTCCTACTGTTTAGTCCTGTTATTGCTCCAGAGCCAGCACCTCTCGGGGTGACTGCTGGAGTCTATCCAGACACTCAGACATCATCAACAGAACTGTTAATGAAGGGTTTGTCTACACAGAAAAATTCTGCTGATTTAATTATGTCTGTTTAGAAACTAATCTGGTACATTCTTAATTTGGGTTAAGAGGATTTTATATCAATTTAGCTTAAGTCAGTAAGGAACTGACAAGCTAAAACAAGGTCTTGCTCACAGATGTAACAAGTTTCATTTCCAAAATCTTTCTTGTTGCTGCTGCATTAAGCCAAAAGGCTTCAGCTTGATTTTCAGATCCCAGGATGAGATTACAGGCCTAGCAGTTAGGACAAACCCTCCCCCCCCCCCTTTTTAAATTAGTAACATTTGAGAATTTGATCTGCCGTCACTGAGAGACAATAAATATGGAACCCCAGGATGCTGTTTGTACAGTCATGTTTCAAAGCAGAACTGCACTTTAAGAGAGATGATTCATAAGATACCGCTAGCTAGTGCTTGGAACAGAACTGAAAAGCGACTGACACCCGCTTGCCTACAATAGCCACTAGATCACCTGGGCTTCATGTTTCTCTGTTTTCATTATTTACTGTTGTTCATAGATAGGGGAGAAATACTCCAGCCTGCTGAGTACATTATTGTGATCTAGTCGCCTTCACCGCACTGTGTGAATGGTAAAAATCAGAAAACCACTCCAGTATCTTGATACTTACAAGTTGCATGAGCCCAGCAGATCTCCGGAGACTGTGGAGAGAAGCAAAGTTTGGTCAGGATGTTGCATGTTATGGCCTGGGACTTTTACATCTATCAACTAATGTTCTTTGTGTGTTTGGGAGAGGTCCCAGGCAGCAGAAGTCTTTCTGTTATCAGAGGAGACAGACTTCTATTGGGTCTCTTTCAATTGGCTCTTCACTTTCACTGGAAAGCAGCTGCTTAACCCAAATGGCATCTCGCCCTAGGGCTGTTTTAATTTTAAATGTTGGCGGAGGTTTTGGTGTTTCTAAGAGTAAGAGTCTAAACGACACAGGATACCTCCAGACATCACACAGCACTGGCTGGTGCCATGTAACTGTACCCCATGCTTACATAGTCTGTCTCTTTGTCACCCTCTAGTGGGTAAAGCATGTTTAGAGGTTTATGAATCTGTTACTGCCCCCAAGGTAACAGCTCTGGATCTTTAGCTTTGGGGATAGACACTTATACGTTTAAATGCAGAGCTTCTGGGTTTAAATCACACAGATAACCTTCCAGGAACATTGTTACTCCATCTTTTCATGTGGCTTTGCCAGTTTTTATTAAATGAAATCAAATTGTATTGTCTCTTACATTGTGGTTTTAAGGAAAGACATATAGTTAAGAAATGTTTGATTTGGTTTATTTTATTTAAAACTGCAATAAAACATTACTTTTCAAGAGCAGTGAAAGAGCTAGCAGTGATGTCAAAGAATCATCACTGAAATCTGAGTAAGCCCCTGTTGAATGCTGCATTTCACAGCTATAGTTTCAGGCTGTCTGCAAATTTAGGTAGACGTATCATTTGTACTCATATCAGGTTTTGAAGATTTTCTCCCCAACTATAACAGCCAGAGACTAATTTTTTTTAAATGAAAGCTAAGACTCTGGAGAACAACCAAAGGGTCTGTCTGAGCATGACCCTGGTTAGTCCTTTTTACTGCCTTTCCTTGTGGGAATGCCCCACAGCTTGGAAAACACAAGTAGAGTGAAAATGTGTCTGTTTACATCCATAAGTTGGCAGTACTCCATCTGTCCTGTGGATACTGGCCAGCTGTCTGACTGATCCATATGAAATGGGAAAAGGGAAGTAACTCTCTTACTTACAAGTGTAAACAATCAACAATTTCAAATATTAGTGTAAATCTCTTATGTTAGATAGTAGTGGCCTAAAATATTTTACATTATTAAATATTATTAATTATTATTATTAAATATTAATGATTAATTATTAATTGTTTTCTGTGCATATTTTCTTGGGCTTTTGCACCAAATATAAAAACAAACCACAGACATTAGTACCTATTAGGGGAGACAATCACCTCACTTCTTAATTGTGGCAACTTCAATTCCATTTCTTCGCCTCTCCCATACAGAAACTACCAATAGCAACAACCCATCTGGAAAGATTTCTCCTCCTCCTCCTCTTCATCATCAATGATTATTATCTGTTATTGCTGTTGTTGTACCTTGAGCCCCATCAGGACCCCCTTTGTGATAGGTGCTAAGTACATATATTATTAAGAAAGACGGCCACTGCCCATATAGTCTAAACATATTTTTAACGGGAATGAATTCAGACCCTGGTTAGTCCTTTTTACTGCCCACCCTTGTAGGAATGTCCCACAGCTTGGAAAACACACAGTAGAGTGAAAATGTGTCTGTTTACATCCATAAGTTGGCAGTACTCCATCTGTCCTGTGGATACTGGCCAGCTGTCTGACTGATCCATATGAAATGGGACTTCAAAGGTCATTGCATTTGTGCATTGGCCTAGATTTTGTCCCAGATCTCCTGGCATGAATGGCTACAGTAGTTCATAGATGCTACAACACAAAGTCCTGCCAGACTTTGCTTACAGTGGAAACATGCAGTATTTTACATTGATCTACATAAGGCTACCGGACAAACACCTGCACTATTGTGTACCTTAGTTTTAACCTACTGATCCTGACTGAGTTCCCATAACCAGTATTCTGCTTAGGTTCTTATACTCGGCCTGTCACTGTGGTATTTCAGCATCTGCTTCTAGCAACTGGAGGAAATGACTCTTTGTTCAAGGGACATGACGACTGACATAGCTTTCAGCTAATACGTAGCTGAGCCTTTCCTTCCATGCTGCCAGCGAAATGCCCACTGTCCAGGGATAATTCTATTAACTGACTCAGCTGCCCAAAAGATTGGGGTGGTCAGAACACCTTAGCTCAAAACACATAGATGACACTTTGCCCTTCTCTAGAACCTTCCATCCAAGGCCTCAAAGCCCTGTGACTAATCTTCCCACCCCGTGGCTCTCTCCATTGAAGTACAGGGAGCTAAAGTGATTCATGTGAAGTCAACAGGGCTGGCCTTACGGGTGGGCGATGATCAGGATGCCATGGTCAAGAGGGTGCCGGCGCCCAGGCAGGGTAAGAGGTGAGCGCCCACCGGCTGGGGTCTGCTCCCCAGTTGTGGGTGGTTTCATTGGCACATGTGGTGTCCCAGCTCGGTGGAGGGGGCAGGTGGGGTGGTCCAGCTCCAGCCAGGGGAGAGGCTAAAATTGCAGGGTCTGTTGCTGTAACTTGTGGCTGGGGAGGGTCTGCCCTGGGGGCAAGCTGCAGGAGCCCCGGTGGGCCTGGGGGAATGCTCTGCAGGGCAGGCTTTGCCCTTGGGGCTCGGAGATCTGCTTCCACCCGGTGTCTCCTGCAATCACCCTGGGCTGCCTGGCACAGCCTGCCCACCAGGGTAGCTGCTCACCTGTCCCTAATGCCCACGAAGCAAGGGCAGATGGGGCACGCCCGGGCTGGTGGCGAATGCTCCTGGGACTGCAGAGTGGTATCCAAAGTTGGGTGGCATTGAGGAGTGGAGGCAGCAGAGCTCCCTGGACAAGTTCCCAGCAGCCGAGCTGGATGCATGCTGGGCTGGGCTTCTGTTTGTGCCTCACAGCGCTGCCATCCCCCCGGTGCTTGCACGGCCGCCAACCTGGCATTCTCACCACTGGTGCCAGAAGCTCAGGTGCTACGACGAGCTAGCACTGAGCATATGGGCTGCCTGTGCCATTTGCAGCGGTCTCTGCTGTAGGTGCACACAGTCCCTACTGTGACTTACAAGCTTCTCCAGTAAACTTCAGGTGTGTGACCGGATTGTGCTTAAACTCAAAGAAAGTTCGCCCAGGGCACCATTTTCCCTAAGGCCAGCCCTAGATGTCACAAATGACATCATCGGCAGGACTAGAACTCTGCCATCTTGCCTCCTCCTTCATTTTGAGCTCTCAGCCATGCTTCTTCCCCAGGATCGCAAGCAGGGCCTTTTATTCTTTCAGCTTGTGAAAGCGTTTGCAGATGGGAGCAGGAGTAAGCCCAGCTTACCCACTCTGTTAAGGACCAGATTGCAAACTCTTCACTCACATTGCCTTTAATGGAACTACTCCTGTGAGTAATGGCTCGACACTGTGCATAAGGGGCTCACAATCTAGCCCTATATAACAAGTTTGTAGCGATGTTCACTCAATGGCAAATACCAAACTAGCAAACTTGTCCTGCCCTTGCAGATGGATGGATTCAATCAGTTGGTCTTCCCCATCCCTAACTACAGTGCAAAGAAGAGCTTTTGTTTATTCAGACAGTGCTCTCTCTGCAGTGGGAAAGAAAGGGGAAGGAGATGGAACTCTTACGGGATGGCGTGTGCTTTACTTTGCCAGTATCACATGTAATTTACTGTCAGCGGTATGCAATTTTGAGCACAGTGCATGTCATGAGACTCCTGTGTTATGCCTCCAAAATAGAATGGCAGGACGGGGAAGAGGGAGAACTTAAAAGAAAAAAAAAAGTTGCACCAAGATAATTTTTCTCCTAAACGCTTTATACATTTCTGTTCTGACAGGTTGTGCTCCTGTGAGGTGCTGAGCACCCTCTAGCCCCATGGGAATTGAGGGTGCTCTGCATTTTGAAGGAGTGATCAGCACCTTACAGGGAGGATCCCTGGGGGAGGGACAGCTCAGTGGCTTGAGCATTGGGCTGCTAAACCCAGGGTTGTGAGTTCAGTCCTTGAGGGGGCCACTTAGGGATCTGGGGCAAAATCAGTACTTGGTCCTGCTAGTGAAGGCAGGGGGCTGGACTCGATGACCCTTCAGGGTCCCTTCCAGCTCTATGAGATAGGTATATCTCCATATATATATATCCCCTAGTGTAACTCATGATATACACCACAGCCACAGCCATCATATTTCCTGGAGGTGTTTGATACTGATAGGGTTACCATCCGTCCGTATTTCCCCGGACATGTCTGGCTTTTGCGTCTCTAAATAGCCGTCCGGGAGGAATTGGTTACAAGGTTAAAATGTCCGGGGTTTTTTTCTCCCTCGCCTCCCTCCCTCCCTTCCATGCAGAGTGCGGCTGCTGACTGGGCGGCTGGGCCAACTGACCCGCTCCCATTGGCCTCCAGCAGCCAGAGCCCTCCCCTGCTCCCCCCTCCCTCTGTCTGTAGCCCTGTGTAACACACAAACCGACCCACCGGGCAGAGTATTTTGCAAACACATGGAGCCAGAATGGTAAGGGGAGTCGGGGGGCGGGGGGGAGCAGTCAGGGAGCGGGGGAGTGTTGGATGGGTCCTCGGCCTCCACCTGCCAGCCCCCCTCCTTGCGTCCCGTCCCCCCGTGGACCCCCCCCGCCTGTCTCTCCCTTGTCTGCTGCCCCCAGGTCCTAGTGTCCCCCATCTACTAATGGGAAGACAGGCTGCCCTTACCCTGCCCTTCCACCCTAGCCCTGAGCCTCTCCAACGCCCCAAACCCCTCAGCCCCAGCCCTCATCCCCCACACCCTAATCCTCTGCTCCATCCCTGAGCCCCCTCCTGCATCATGAACCCCTCATCCTCAGACCCACAGCCCTCACCCCTGCATCCCCTCCTATCCCCAAACCCCCTCCCCACACCCCCCTCCTGCCCTCAAACTCCCTCCCAAAGCCTGCACCCCCTTCCTTTGCACCGCCTCCCACCCCCAAACTCCATCCCAGAGCCTGCACCCCTCACCCCCTCCTGCACACCCACCCCCTGCCCCAGCCCGGAGCCTGCACCCAGCACCCAAACTCTATCCCAGAACCTGCACCCTGCACCCCTCCTGCACCCTAATCCCCAGCCCAGGACCTGCACCCCAGACCTCCTCCCCCCACCCAACCCCCCTCCCAGAGCCTTAGGCAGGTGTGTGTGGGGGGTTCTGGGCAACACCAAAATTTCTACAACCCTGCCACCCATGCGAGTGGATAAGGGTCGGGGCAGTCAGGGGACAAGAAGCAGGGGGGGTTAGGGTTCTGAGGGGGGAAGTCAGGGGGTGGGAAGTGGGAGGGAGTGGATGGGGGCGGGGTGGGGGCGGGGCTAGGGCGGGGCTCCCCCCTGTCCTCTTTTTTGATTGTGGAAATATGGTAACCCTAGATACTGAGTATCTAAATAGGGAACTTCTTCCCCCATTCCTGGAGCTATAGCTGAAGACAGGCTGCAGCCCAGCTGGATACTAGAAACACAACATCCAGAGCAAGGGGTTGGATTCTCCAAAAGCGAGTGTTCACCTTTCAGGAATGAGAGTAAAATTCCACGTATCAATGGGCTGTGCAGGGAGGGAGGGGGATCTTTAGCCTTCACCTCCCAAGTGCAGAACACTGTGAAGAGAAGCTAGAGATCTCTTAGGCTACATTCAGTCCTGAGGTAAGCACATGCAACTCCATTGACTTCAGTGGAGTCACACCTGCTTGAACTGGGCCCCTTGACCTTCCCATGCCAGGGCAGGATTGTCTGCTCCATTGCTTTGGCCAGCCTAGTTGCAAATGTTTCAAGTGACATGTTTCATGCTATTCCACAGTGTCAGAGATCTCCCCAACGGATAGTTTCTTCTGATAGTCAACCTATTCCTTTGCTTAGTACCATCCTTTTCCTCCTGGATATACATCTCTCTACCCTCTTCTACTGCCTTAAAAATTCCTCCCTCTCTTCGGTGTTTGAACCCTTTGGAAATTGGCCGACAGTTGGCATGTGTCCCCTTAGTTGTTCTGTGGTCAAGCTATAAATACAAAGACGACTACATTACATAAATGTTAGGTTAAAAGTCAAACACTGAAAAGAGGAAATACCAGATTTATGGTTACCTGTGCAACCTATACATTGAACAAGACAGGGGTCCTGTGGAGAAAGTAGCAATGTGATTGTTTTCAGAGTAGCAGCCGTGTTAGTCTGTATCCACAAAAAGAACAGGAGTACTTGTGGCACCTTAGAGACTAACAAATTTATTAGAGCATAAGCTTTCGTGGGCTACAGCCCACGCACACGAAAGCTTATGCTCTAATAAATTTGTTAGTCTCTAAGGTGCCACAAGTACTCCTGTTCTTTTTTCAATGTGATTGTGTAATTAAAGCTATCATAACACACCCATACAAGGGGGCCAAATTAAAGCTGCAACCAATAGGGGCAATTTTAGAAAATGCTCAGTGCATCCTGCAAGGTGCTGAGCGTACTCTGCTCCCATGTGAGTGCAGTCATGCCACCATAGAACTAGTACAATGCAATAGAAAATTAGTGACTTCTATTGAGAGTGGAAGGTGTTAGCACTTTACATGATCAGGCTTTATGAGGTTGGAGGCATGCTGAACCAATGGACTCCTAGTCTAGCCCTTCCCTTAATAGGTATTGCCAGATAATAATAAATAATAATAATGCACAACAACAGTGGGCATAGTAGAAGAGGACAGATGAGAAGAAAGCACTGACTTTTTATCATTTTTAAATGAAAGCAAAATGAATGAAACAGTTTCCCAAAAGAAGTGGTTAAAGCGCTTGGGCAGTTGAAAGCAGTCCTGACAAAGCATTGGCTCCAAGAAGGAACAGAACTAAAGGTTACAATTATCCAAGATATCAGTCATAATAAAAATAATTAATACTAATATACTATACTCGCTAGTATTTTTGCGCTCTCCTTACCTGGCTATGAAGGCACAGAAAGCAGACTATCAAAAGTGGAACCACAACCAGTATTAAAAGAGCCAAAGTGCAAAGGTTCATCCGATTGCATCCTGAATTGTTTGCTTCCTTGGGAATATTCCCATTCTCCAGGAAATTTGATATTTCCATGTTGCTTAGCTCTCAAACTGCTAGAGATGAGACAGCTCAAAACCAAACAGCAGCAGCAACATTTAAAAAATACTGCAAGAATTCCTGAGTTCTTGACACCAAGAATGAGTAGCCCTGGACGGAATTTATATGCAGGGGATAAGATGGAAAAGGGAGGAGCTTATGCATGTGTTTCATCACTGTGTAGCTGCAGAAAGCAATTAGCCAGCATTTCCTCATGAAACTGATGTAGACAACGGAACTCTCATTTGGCTCCAGGCCCAGAATGGAAGGCGGCTTTGAAATGAAACTCAGCCAGCAAACTGCAAACATTTATGAAAAACCCCCAACATTTTCAGACAAGGAGCTGAGTTCACAAAGCTCTTCGAAAGAACAAGAGGAAGGGCAAGTTATGAAATGCACAAATCCTAGCATTTGCAATATATTGCAGAGTCTGATTGTTTTTCTCTCCACAAGGATTTGTTTTACAAGAGTTTTGGTATCTGGATTAAAACAGTTTCTCAATTCCAATGCAGAAAAACAGAACAGTATTGACAGAAGGCAGCTTTTCAATACTCTGAGAGATTTATTATTTGTATAGTAAACACGGAACTAGTCGAGATTTCAAAGCAATGACAGAATATGAGCCACATTTCCAAAATTGGCCACCAAAATTGCACCCAAAAAGTTTGGCAATTCACCTTTTGGAGCCACCAACCCTATATTATATTTTCATTTGAAAACAGTGACTTGTGCATGTAGTTCCCTGCTTTGTACACTGGAAAGGATCAAAAAAAGAAGAATGCAATTTAATTTCATACAGCTCCATTGCACCCATTTGAAAATTGTAAATTGCTTTCAGTTTGCAGGGCTTGAAATTGACCAATTTGTTTTTCAAATACATTTACATTGTTACCTATTTCCAAACATTTTAAATTTTCAAAAACAAAAATTAAAACAAAAAATATTCTACATTTTTAGTTTTTGAAAATGACAGGAAAAATATCATGTTATTCATTTTTAAAAGGGAAAAAAGGAAAAACAAGAAATGGGGTGGGGAAGAAAAGAAAGAAAAGAAGGAAAAAGTAAAATGCACAAAATGAAAATAAATGTTAAAATATCAACCAATAGAATGAATACATTTTGGTTTCCAGATTTTGTGAAAATTTGGGGCTTTTTTAATAGAAGGAAAAGAATTGAGACTTTTTTATTTAAAAAAGCCATTTTTGACACACACAAAAACAAAAAACCCAGTCATTTAAATAACTTCAACCAGCCCATTTTGCCAGTGTAACAGGGACGCAGGCAAATTTTATTCACACATTTTAGGCATCCACTTCTGCAATTCCTCCACCTCCCACCCCTCCCCTTTGCTACAACAGTGCATTTGGAAATGACAGCTACATAAAACAAAATACAGCAGAATCTCTCTGGTTTGCATTGATCTGGAGATTCACTGAAGATTATTCAAATTCGCAAAGTAGAGCAACCCCTCCCCCCCCCCCCAAAAAACAAATCAGCCAAAACAACAACCAAACAATCAAGGATGCTGCATTAAAACACACTTTGTGGGGCTATTTCTCATTTACACTAATTCCCTTTATACCACTTTGGCAGCATAAACGGGCCTTAAAATAAGTGTTCGTGTAATTTACATTCATCTTAAGGTAGGGTGACCAGATGTCCCAATTTTATAGGGACAGTCCTGATATTTGGGGAGTTATCTTATATAGGCCCCTATTGCCCCCCACCCCCGTCCCAATTTTTCACACTTGCAGTCTGGTCACCCTATCTTAAGGTCCCTTTTGCACTGCCACAGAGAGTTGCCCAAATCTGGCCGAATGCATTTTAAATAATTTGAAATATTACACTTTGTAACTCATGAGAACAGTCCACTTTCTATTATAAATGTGTATTGGATTGGTAGACTTCATGTGCGCTTACTAGAAATGGGTCGTTGCCACAGAAATTCAGCTCTAGATTTCAAGCACCACTCAGTTTGTAGTTACTGTCTTGTGGAAATGTCCTGTAGATTTTAACAAGGTTAAAAGCCATGAGAGTTCTATTGAGAAAAGGGGTCTAAAGAAATTACTGTGAAACACCACAGACTCTCCAGCTGTTACCTAATTTTTTCATATGTAAAAAATGCTTTTTAAGAATCACCTGCCTGATTCCCATAATAAGCACTTAAGTGATGGCATATGAACAGGCAGAGTAAATATAAATGTCTTTTACAATGTGATCCTCTCTTCATGGGATAATAGATATAGTCCCACCCTGTTAATTAGCTGCCATTGATGGACCACCAATTTGCAGGTGTAATGAGCAGGAGGCTGCTTAATTCCTTTCCCAGTAGAGCTAAACCTTTGGGGGATGGAAAGGAAATAAGATAGAGACGATAGTCTGAGAGACTAACAACAGGGGAAAGAGAGAAAAAGAGAGGACCTGTCATACTTATGGCAGTTCCTGCTGAAAGGAGGGACTCCGATTTTCAGGGAAACAACCGAGAGCGTGAAGCAGTTATGAACTAAGTGAGGCTGTTGCAAGAACAGCACTAGCAACCTTTACCCTTTTTAACATAGACTTTCACTACCCACGCTAGCGCCACTCCCCATACCTGTGGTTAGGTGAGAGGAAGAGTAAAATGGTTGGATTTACAGGTGTCTGTTTCCCCACTTTCTTAAATAAACAGCACATAGTTTAAGCTGCACCTCTGATAGTTGCTGAGTATCCATCCCAGAAGATGAGAAGGGTGCTACCTTCCAAGATGGAGGACAAACGGATATAATTCCCCAAGCTAGGGATGTCAAGGTCACAAAGTCTTAGTATGTGCCACAGACTACAGATAGCGCTTCATACTGGTCTGGGGGTCACCCTCTGGCCTACCAAACATTGGGATAGAGTGACCCATTAGTCCCTAGGGTTCCAACATGCCAGCTAAGATACCCTGTTAGCAACACAAAACACTGCCAGACCCCAGATCAGCCCCTTCAGTTCCGTCTCCGCACTGTTAAGTTCACCTCCCTTTTAACCTCCATTTGCAATTCACAAAAAAAAGAACCAGGCAATCTTCATTTTGAACCAAAGCAATGCAGAGTTCTTGTGAAATCACATCAGCAATGCCAATGGGCTTCTTAGTGGATTATATTGTTACAGTACAGTTGAGCAGCTAATCAGAATGAATAAATATTTGCAACTTGCAAGAAAGTGTTTTATTGTTTGCTGAATTATGCACAGTGTCTCACTATTGAAACACCAGGCACAAAGTACAGTAGAATGACATTCACAGGATATAATGTACTAAAGAACATTTACAAGGAATCTAAAGATAAGTACACTAGCCGTGCCCCACCACACACCAAAAAAACACCCCGCGTTGGAAGAATGGTATACCTCTACCCTGATATAATGCGACCCGATATAACACGAATTCTGATATAACGTGGTAAAGCAGTGCTCCGGGGGGGGGGGGGGGCTGTGCACTCCGGTGGATCAAAGCAAGTTCAATATAACGCGGTTTCACCTATAATGCGGTAAGATTTTTTGGCTCCCGAGGACAGCGTTATATCGAGGTAGAGGTGTATTAATATTGCAGTCAGGTCAGGCACTCAAAAATTAAGGAATGCCAGAATTACAGATATTAATTAATTAAGCCCAGTGAGGTATTGTAGAGATAAATATTATTATACCCATTTTACTGGTGGGAAAACTGAGGCAGAGACTGAGTAGTTTATCCAAAGTCATAGGATAAGTAAGTGAAAGAGGGAGAGAGACAAGGACTGAGCTCAGGAATTCTGATTCACTGTCTCCTTCTTTAAGTCCCTAAACACATTCCTTCCCAAAATAGTTAGCATGGGCCATTTATTGTTTCTATTGATGTGGTTATGTGTCTGTATCACTGTGATATTGGAAGATTTTGTAATGGTCTGTCCCTTTAAAGCCGCCCTACAACTGTAAACAGACCCGAACAAGTTTGTGAGCGTGAGTCACCAGCGCATGAATGTACAGTGTGTGGAGCAGGCTGTGGGGAGTCTGCTAAACAAATAGCACTGGACTGTTCCTCTGTGCAGATGTGTTGCTTCAAGACAGTCATAACAACAGAGAGAGTGACCACATGTGCAAGTGCCTCTGGGACAGAGTGAGCTGGTGGGATACGAATGGTGGACTGGAAGACTGCGTCAGTGTGGGGGGTTGGCATGTATGGCAGGGTGTGGGCTGGGAAGAGTGGGAGAGGGTGGGCGTGTGAATGTTAGGGGATTGCTCATGTACTGGGGAAAGTGGGTGGGGGAGTTCTGGGGGAAGTGGGGGAGTGGATGTGCATGTCGAGGAAGCAGGTGTGCTCGAGAAAGTGGAGAGAGTGGATATAGGAGTGGAGGTGTGCTGCGAAATGCAGGTGAGGATGGAAGAAGCTTGGGAAAGCAGGTTGGGAAGGGAAGTTTTGCATGTGGGCGGGGGAATGTGTCAGCCTGCAGATGAGGAGTTCTGTGTGGGCTGGCCTCACGTCAGTGCCTGATAAACACAATGACGGCACAATGGTGAGCTTGGCACTTTGTACCTCAGAAAACACCAGCCGTAAATATAGCTATGTGACTTTCAGTCAGTAAAGGCTGCTGCGTAGTTTTGATTGCACATTCATAAACTCCATTGTTATTCCCGCCTCTCCCCCATTGATCCATGGGTCTGCGTGTAGTAGTGAGTCGCTCCAGAGGCAGTGGTGTTGTTTTGTTTTACTGGGGATTGATTTTGAAACTTGTGAATAATGAAGACTCCCTAGCAGCACTGAGTTAAAACTCAGTGTCAAAGACTGGACCAGGTTTTTCTCATGTAAACAAAAAGCAACTGTAGCTTCATTTTCCGTTTGTTTTCTTCCTCATTTCTTGGCACTTCTCAAAATAGCTCAGAAAGCTAAATGACTCCAGCTCTGGGAATGTGATTGTGAGATGAAGAATGTGACCGCCAGTGACTGGATGCTTTAGCTATGCTAGGCCTTTCCCCTTTCATTCCTTGTCTGTTCCCATGGGAGGGAAATGAATTAATGCAAAACACTCCTATTAAAGGAGAAAGGTTGGAACCCCCATGAGCCAGCCT